ATAGTAAGCACCGTCGCGTAATTACCTTGTTTGCCTTAAGAATAATCCTTTGAAATATTTCTAAATGTTTACAACATACGGGAATAGATATCGTCAATGCCTTCGTAGTTTCAAATGAGACAATTTTTCATCCCTTGTGTATCAATTCTATATTTCAACTAGAAGCAAATCTTTCCACTTGCGGCGTTTCGTTGGAACAATTTTTTAAAAACATTGTATTGATATCATATATAGTCAGACATATAATTTTAAAGAGCATTCGCAGATTATATGAGCTCTTAGCTAATGATATACCAATTGTGTTCATTTCATACTCAACAATATTTTTATATTTTTTGTATAAGGCTTCGGATGGCGTAGTGGGTAATGATAGTCAAGAATACGCGCATGGGGGAAATTTGATTCTCTGGTTAGTCACCTGACCGATCTTGTAGGATTTCTGTCTATATTTACCCATATACACCCCAACCCCTGTCTGCTAACATCTGGGCCAACAACAGTCATTAATATAAATTAGGAAAATTTCTTCTATCATCGTTTTAAAATGATTAAAATTTATTTCACCATCCTGTTTTATTTGCACAATGATTGCCGCAACGATGTGTGTTTATATATATTTAGAAACCTGCCAAAAATCATAATGACAACTGTTTGTATTGTCAATCGTAAATATTCCAAACATACCCTGAATACGTTTGTGTTCGATAGAAGATCAATCACTTTCACAATTCCTACTTATTCAGCAAATATCATTAGTGGTTACGGCCCCCAGAACGATTCTATAGAAAAGGGGACATTGCCAATGAAAAACGACAATAAAATCATTGATAAACACTCCCATTTACGTCAGAACGACCGGCAACGCATGGAACACTGGGATAGCAAACAAGGGAGACAATTCATAGCGACGTTAATTTCTTTGATGTATGTGACTTACACAAAGATAAATGAGTATACACAGCGACCGGTAGTGTTGTTTACATTGGTATCAAACATTCAGATTTATGAGTTTTCTTTAAGAATAGATTCGACGTCGGTTCTTCGTCAAAAGTGATTTCACCGAGCAACCGTAAAAGCGTACATGCTCCGTACCGTTTAGTTATTTAACAGCAAATCAGCCACATTCCAGCTACAAAATATTGACATTTGACGGTAAATAAAAGAACCCCGTGGTTAAAGGATGACAACCCAAGAATTTCACTCTAATCTATTAGCTTAAGCGGCCCGGACAAACAATAGTCGCTTATGGCATGGAAAATATTGGGAGTGTTCTCAAACATATGATATACCTTCAACATATCGCTATATAGAGAGAGCACACGGTGATTTCTTATTAAAGATTTGTTGTCAAAAAATCGATACTTCATATCAATGAATGGGATTCAACCGTTTAGGTCGTGAAAGGCGTTCTATAGTAAAATAAAAATCCACGATATCTTCCTAGTGTGTGTTATGTTAATTCTAAGTGTATGAGTTATCAGAAAATTGCCGATGACATTGATGATAGCAGAAACCTTTACAATGATAGGGTATTTTGACATACATATTATTAAATGCTTTCAGTTACATGAGAGAGTAGATAGTGACCTCTTCAGGTTGACAGAATACCAAACAAGGAGTAAAAAGTAACCGATAAATTCAAAGTAACCCAACAATAAAACGTTTTAAGGACTGATATGCGAGATAAAGACAAATCTAGAGGGATTCCGAATCAGGCATTAAGTGTTAAGTTTGTGATAACGGCGGGGTTTATCATAGGACGGCTTGAAACATTCAATTTATTACACCGAGTGCTTGTATCCTTGTTCAATTGATAAACTATTGTATTGTATTTAGAATATAAATCCTCTGAAGTAAGCGGTAAGTAAAATTATGTATGTCTTCGTGTGTCTCTAATATTTTTCACACGTATATTTGTGAAGAGTTACTATGCACGCTCTCAAGCACGTGAAACTGTTTTATGATATGCATTTGCAATTTTGTCAAATATTGATGAACAAACCAAACGTTTCAACTCCGTGTAGCTCGGCATTTAAGAAGAATTTCGGTTACCAGTATATGTTTGTTGTGAATTTAAAAATTAATTTTTTTTATTTGTCCTTTATCAAATCAAATTCTGCATAATTCAACGATGTATAGGTAAAATTTAGGTATAAAGGTAAAATTTACTTATGAACCAAATGGTCTTTAATTTCAATCCAAAACATTTAGGCGAGTTAAGTTAAGATAAACTTCATTGATGACACGAAAATAAAACTGAAAGTTCCAACGCGAAAATATTCTAAATTGAATTCATGATCATGTAGATGCTCTTGCAATAAATTTGACGATTACTCCATATTGCATTCAATACTCTCTCTTTTCAACCCAAACCGCATTCGTGTTTACAACCAATTCTCACAGGGATATATTAAATGTTCAACTCAATTATTATGCATTTCATATTGAAGAAAGGTGTTTCCAGTTCCGAGATTCATTTTGCTTTCTGTATACATCGGGAAAGAATTGACATAAATATATTTCTGGAATAATATAATAAAATTATTGACGAGAAAAATATTGTTTTAACTAATTAAAATTCACTAGATTGAAAGCTGTACTGTTATTTTTCGCTGACCCCCAAGAGAGAATTGCTAATTTTCATTTGTCAGCTTCGATCAAGCAAATTATGTGAATCGGTGCAAGTCAAGTACACCTCATTAGTTTGTATAGCAAACTACCCACAAAACTCCGCCCAAAATACCGGAACACAAAATGACACGACAGTCCACATACCCGGACATTTACGACTTGGGTAATTGACAATCACATACGCCGGACGTTTACGACTTGGGTAATTGAGAATCGTAAACGGAGTAGAACGGTGGTTGGGACATTTGTGTTAATTACTCTTGTAAACACGAAGTTAAGTTTATGGTTGTTCGGCATCACAGACATTTTGTGAAAAGCATCGACAGCTTAAACTTTGATCATCAGAAGAGTATTATAATATAACTAAATAACGTCAAATTCCTGATTTCATTGATGACCGGAAATACAATTCTGAAATACGCATTTCTGTGAATATTCTGTATGGGAAATGAATATTTTTTAGTGTTTGTTTTATTCATTTATTATTCAAGCTTAGAAAACATTTGTGGAAACAAGTCTCATGAACTGACATAATTACTACCACAGTCTGCCATCACTAAACCGCCGCATGGCCCAACTAAGCTGGGCTGAATTACGGCAAATTGGTCTGTACATCTTGAGAGTGAGTAAAACTTTCACGAGGGGCTAGTGGTCGAGTGAGCGAATGGGTATTAATTACCAAAATATTTATGTTATTTTAGTGTCAAGTCATTTCTATTTACTATAAAAATATTCAGAAGCCTATTTATGGCAACTGTATGGGCGCATTCGATCCGTGTTCTAACTTATACCGATTCTGTTTGTTTTCCTTATCTTAAACAAATTTCTGTTTTCGTTAAATAAAAACCAACGTATACATCTTATACTTATATTTAAAATAAATTTTGTTTCATTTTTTTATAAATCATTTCGAGGCTAAAATTCATTTAATCCGTAATGTTAAATCATTGAAATAGAATATTTTTTAGAAACAAGATTGTATCAAAGCTTTGTTTCTGTCCATATTCTAAAAGTATATTTCGTTTTTACGTACACTTCCAACATTTCATTTTTAATGCTTATGGTTGATAGTTGATTTGAACGCAAACCACATGTGTGAATTATAGTGTATATATTACACATGAAAAATAGTGTATATATATATCACACGTGAAAGATAGTGTATATATTACAACTAAATCGTCTCTGATAGCTTAAAATATCAACACAAATGTTAAAAACAGTCAACCGTTACTTGTGAAAATACCAATTGCGGTTGTAGAAAAATTCATTTTTTCAGCACATACATCATAAATAGATATTTGATAGGTTTATAATAGTGAGAATCGTTATAATGATTGGAGAATACAGTGTATATATAATATGTCCCCAAAACGCCGCAGTTTCTAACTGTTTTGAAGCAGATGATATACAAATGTTCACGTCAAATACACTCAACATGCAAAGATGAAATATTAAGTTGTTACAACAACTACGTCATTCCATTGTATGTTCTATGAAATCAACAACCAGCATGCCTCACGTCAAATTCCCCTACCCCCAAAAATAAAAAAAGGCTTCAACACAAATAATACAAAAACATCTGAAGTAAATTGGGAAAAAATCTGCCTCCAAAAAAAAAAATTCAAACGGAAAATAGAAATGAAAATGATACATCAAATCCGGAATTATTTCCGCTGGAGTTGTGAGATGTTTTAGAGTGTATAACTGCATTCTTTCAGCAATTCCTACAGGTAGTTCCAGACTTATGTAAGTAATAAGGAGACATTTAAACCGTGTTATTTCCCACTTAGGCACATATGGTAGTGATTTTGTTTTCACACGGTTTTAAATGGTCCCTAATGGTTCCTAGCTATGTTGAGTGATGAGAACCCGTTATAGGGTCTGCAACAGAGCGTCTGGTATATAAACACAGAGAAATGGATATATATATATGATGGAAATTAACTGCGACCTTCTTTCTACCGTGAATTAGAAATTATTCTTTTATGAATGATATACATAAGAAATGAGTTTGCGTAAACAAACGGATTTTGATTTTTTTATATTTCATATTCCAAAAACGAATTTTGAAATTTTTTTTGTTAGTTTTTATAGGGTGTATATTAAATTTAGAAAACTGGTGAGACAAAAAGATATTTTTGAATTTTCCTTTTATGTTATTATTATTGTTATTGTCATTACTTAATTGTGTTCCGTTTCATTTCTGCTGAACAACCATTACTAACTTAGTATGAACAGAGATTGTATTTTTCTTCTCTGAACGGTTAGTATCGTTTTAACAACATAATTTGTAAAACTCATTCAAAATAAAAACTAAATAATCAAAAACGAGACTAAAAATATTATAAAGATAAACCGGAACTTACCGGGTGCGGACCTGCGCAGTCCTTGTTGTAAACTCATGTTGTAATTCCATGCGAACTCAGGGCTCATATAGGGGTAGGGACTGAGCCCGCTGGGTCGGGCAAGAGGTGTGTTGTAGCTAGTATCGGTCCGGGCCGTCGGGGAACTGATGGGTGAGCTCGGGGAAGGTGCAAACGCGAACCTAGGGGACACTGAAGGGTGTGAGTTTGAGGTACTATATGATGCTTCTGGGGGCATGGTCCACATTGCCGGGGATCCGGACGGAGTTGAAACCGACTGTCCGCCTCCATTGCTTACATACTGCATTGGGAGGACTGCACGTGTCGTAGGAACATACACGGGGCTGGCACCCGCAGGGTGCATGAAGCTGTTTGCCCCGGGAGACTCATGGTAGGTAGGGGCAGTCGCGCCCGATGGAAGGGACATGGAGTGCATAGCGCTGTTCTGAAACATACTGTCGGGAGAAAGTTTCGGGTTCGACTCTGGTGTGGATGCGGTCAGATGATGTGGCTCTGAGGCACGACCTCTGACCTCAGATGGAGAATGCTGGTTTGGTAAAGGTCTGTCCAAATGATTAAAGAAAACTTCGACGTCCTCACAAGGCAGAAGTGGACTATTTTCTTGGAAATTCAGCATACCACGAGAAGAAGCGCTTTGTGCTTCCAGCGAGCTGCTGCCGGAACCGTTTGGGGGCGCTCTGGAATGGGTTCCGTTGTAAATCTTCCTGTCGTCAAAGCGTTGTTCTTTAGTACGATTGAAATGATTTTCCGAATTAAGCCAGAGGAGTTCCGAATGTGCCATTAAACTCCATTCGGTACGCTACTCATTAAAACAATACTACACAGTAAATTGACTAAACGACAGCGATAGACGGTGACGGCGCTCCAAACTGACTAATGATGACACCTGGTGTTGAAAGAGTCAAGCAATCGAACGCCAGAAGATGTGTTTAGTTGTTTTGTAGAATCTGGTACAGGAACTCAATCTGAAAGTTATACAAAATATAAATTAATACAAACACTTCTCTGTCGTAAAATTTCAGTTAGTAATTATGACGTCACTTCCTGAGGAAATGCATGTAACAAATTTTCTAAATGCAAATTTTCATTTCAGCCTTACATTCCAACTTGACATAAAAGCTCATTCATCCAATCAAGAAAGCTGATCACCACACAAGAAAAGTTGTTGTTCTTGGTTGTTCGGTTTTAATTTAGAGAAACAAAGATATTATTAAAATGACATCAAACAGTTTTAATAGTAAAACTGCATGATTCATATCCTTCCGATCGACTATTTCCTCCAACGAACCGCGGAGGGCAATGGAATGATAGCACACAATAGAAGATAAGGAAACACAACATGATAATTCCACAATATAGAATGGGCATTTATGGAAGTGTGAACATTTCTTTTAAGTAATAGATTGTGAAATGAATTATTTGAACAAGCTCTACAATATCGTATCATTGATTTGGTATGCTATTTTTATATAAAGAGAGACACAGTGAAAAGTTACTCCTTAAAAGAAATGTAATCATTTTATTCCAATTATCGCAATCAGCAACTTAAAGATAATCACTTGAAAGTAAATTATCATGAAAATTCTAAGTAGTGAAAGAAAATCGTGGCAGACTGAAAAAGGAAAATTGTTTCTTTATATCAAATGAAAACCACAATTTGCTTTTTATGCATATTCACATCGTGATTCGGTAGATTTACAGAAACATTCTTTCCTACTAACACTAAGATAAAAATATATGGCTTTAGTGACTATATACTCTTCTGCATTTATGGTGGTATGAACGCATCGAAATATAGAAAATGAAGAAAAATCCCAATTAGTGCTTTATTGAAAAGCCGATAGATGATGGTCTCACATATTTTAGTCGTTTAGATGTTCAGAATTATTTGTACAGGAGAAGGAAAAACAAACCATGATCAGTATTTTTTTTAACTAGAAACCGTACAAAATATACCAGAATTAAGATTGTGAAAGGAAGTACAGGGAAGGTCTAGAAACCTACATTGTATGTAATAATGGTATATTCTTTGTTCTTGTTTTAGAACATGTTCGAATTCTAAATTAGTTTCGCACAAGTCTGTACTGGTTTGTGTACTTCTTTGAATAAAAATAAGCACACGACATGGATCGGTACAGTTCGTCGTTATACGAACGGCAGCAAACGCACGTACACCTGCACGTGCGATAGATGTTACTAACTCTGATGTGCCTTAGAGTGCAACAGTTCGTTTCAGAAAAAACACGTAATGAATTAATTCAATAAAATTGTGATTACTGAAACAGCCGTCTGGAAGCTCGCGGTAATTCTACATCCTTTCATTCCGTACACTTGAGCCTAAAACTACATCCGTCCACGGCGGTTGCTGAAATGTCATTTGTAAAAATTGGTCTGCATCACAAAGCAAAAAAAAATGGTTCCAGATCATTATTGAATTTAAATATTCGTCATTTACTTTAATTATAAAATCATTCTTTGTTGAGAATATTCATCATCCAGAATTTTAAGTTAGTGGTGTCCTTTAACAGGTACATTTTCTCCTATTTGGAACGCTATCAAACGTAGTAAGTTATATGAATAGACATCTCTCCTAGGTTGAAGATAAATGAGAGCCTATTATATTTCATATTTTTATCGTTTAATGTTATCACGGGACAGACGCTTACATGTAAATATTACGTAAAATTATATATATAAAAAGATGACCGTTTCGAATCAGACCGTTATATACATTTAAGGTAATCTATTTGATACGTACAATTTGATTATGATAAAGATATCTGATATTATTAAGCTAAGATGAAATGTGTCTTCGTACCCATTGTCATCAAGGTCCTTACATCTCTTCATGTGTCGTTACTCACGTGGCATCAGTTAGAAAGCGATAAGAGCGGAAGACAAAGAAAATATGTTTTTACAAAACAAACCAAGAAATATATATCAACATAACTAATAATAACAATTGAAACCAATACCTTCTTTCCTAATTGTGACCTGCGTGAATACTTCGCTCCTTCTCGGGGCTTTATCGCGTTTAACCGTGTCTGCACGAGATATGAGATATCTTGTGACTTGCGTATCAGCACCACACCAGCTGTATCAGTTTATGACAATACCGATGCCGATTAAAGTACAATACCTCTACCTACATTGAATATATAAATATACAGAATTATTATCTAGAATACATAGATAGTTATGTTGACAATGGTGGCCATCGCAATCAGCTGTCTTTTATCTGGATAACTGCGTGTTGCACGAGCGGTGTATTATAGATGTCGTACTGATAAAATTAAAAAAAGTTCAAATTTTGTATCTGGAATCCTAAAATCGATTTCATAGAATGTATTTTATTATTACAATATGTTTATAGATAAATATCTGTTACAAATATTCGTTTCTGATGTTTGGGACAATTCATTGTAGTTATACGTCAAAGCATTATGGATAGAGAAACTGTATGTTACAATTAGTTGTATCGAATCCATTTGTAATATTTTGCAAGAAGCAAACTAAACTGCATTTTCGATAATACAAAAATTACATATTACTTACTATTGTTACACCTAAAAGGATGATTAAATTAAGTCTGACAAAAACTCATATCATTAAAATATTTTCAGTAAATATTACAATATTTTATAATACCTGAGTATCATTTTACAACATTTTGATATATTACACTATTTCATCAATTTATAATATCTGTTAAAGACATATCGGTACGTGTCAATTTCTTACACATACTGACTAATTTGATATGCTAAATTTAAATTAGTGTAATATAAGCAGTAACTGGAGCTCTGTAGGACGTTATTGTTGATAATTTTCTGGTGTTCGGAGAGGATGTGAACGAACAAATTGTTTAAACAATAGGCATAAGATGTTAAATGATACATAGAAATATCAATGACTAGAAAACATCGTACCTAAACAGCAGACATGTAAAATGCCTGTCTTCGCAAAATTACGAGAATTTACACCATACATGTTTTTAATCACTTTTACGACAAAATGCTCCATGAAAATGCAGGCACACAATAAATATTCACGTATTGTTCAATAAAGATTAAGTTAAAAAATTTTGATATAAAAGTCTTTTTACGTTCCTGAAGATTGTCGCTGCTATATTAAGTGTATTATCTTCCTTACATAAATAAATAGCTTGTAAAATTATTTTGATTAAAAACGGATTTTTTTTCTGTGATGATATTACATTTCAATACCAAAAAAATAATAAAAACGAAAAGAATTTAAATATCACATGTACTTTCATGTAAACAAAATGTTTTTGTAAAAATAATTTATGTATGTAATCTTACCAGAATTCAATATCCAAGTCCCTCCACACTGTTTAGGTTAATAAACACACTCACAACTTTACACGACGTGTTACATATAAATGGTTTGCTACAAATGGCACCTACCAATCCCTGCCCTCTTGGTGTCTACAGGACCACTGTTTGAAGTTACCGACGTAATTTCTAAGAAAACATCTGCATTAGCATAAACTACCTTATCCGACTATTTGAGAAGATAATACGATTTTGGGCTTCTAAGCCTCAAAATCTAGATGTGGGTTTATAGTAAAAACAAAAAGTCGGGTAGGTCAGGAAGCCAGGTAATTACACAGGTAAATCTACCTACCTGCTTGTGAACTCAATCGGACTTAGTCACTAAGGAGGGGTCAAGTTTTAAAGGGTAGGGTCAAGTGTTTTTATGAGGTAATAGCTTGATTTGAGTTCGAAATATTCAATGGAATTGTTAACTCCACTGAATCATATTATATACAGGCATTTGTTTAGAAATATACATGTAAAATTCGTTATCATATACGTTAATCTGCATTTTTTTCTTAATTCGAGATACCATTATTAACAGGATTTTACAAAATCGTTTTCCTCACACCGTCATCTAGCTTTATTATATGTTAAGTGGACGAATATAAATAGGAAAACTATAAAAATGACAATGTACGATATTCACGGTATTTGGAAGACGGATACGACTTAAGATGTCAAAGTTTTCAATGTGTTGTTATATTATTGTCATCATAAACTTTATTATTGAATATAAAAGTATATTTAGGTCGACCGTCGGAAATCACGGCCATAATGCATCCAGGTAATTTATGTTTATACCTGGTAAATTGTAATTAACAGGTGTGCTATATAAAAGAGTGTTATTTGTGTTAAATGAAAGCAGACAGAACTTTAATAAAAAAAATTAAAACTAACTATTTCTTGTATCATTTGAAAGGCTTGTTTCAATCACATGTACAAACAAAACTCTTGACCCTACAATACATCACTGGTTAAATTTGTAGCCCACCCATAATATAATCTCAGGTACGCACAGGTGAAACAAAGGAATTCAGAATTATATATACGTGCAAAAACGCGACAAACAGTGATACAAGAAGCTTGATTACAGTTTATATAAGTAATTGATCCCATTTTCGAGAAATTATTGGAACAGACTGGTAAGTATAAAAGTATACAGGTGTTGATATCGGCTTACCTGTTCATATCCAATCAACGCACATTCTAATATCCCAAAACGACTTATCCTGGGTGAAATCCGGAAACATCGGAACACTTCAAACAAATAGTAACCCAAACTTTGTATATTCCAGGATACAACCCACATTCCAGCGAAATCATTTTAGGGGTTAATGTTCAAATATGATATAATACGGCCAAGCGAAATAACGAAAATTTAAAATATTATTTTAGTGGGATAAAAAGTTGTAAAATATTTTTTTTTAAATAAATATCTTTTTTAAAGCTGGAATGTCGTTGTTGGCGATCAGAATGAAAATGAAGTAATTTTGTAGAGCGAGTTTAGCTTATACCGATAATAAAATAGGCGATTAGATTAGTTGAATGCTGAAG